TACGAGTGGCATCGTTTAGCTTTCGATAATCGATGCACACTCGCCAACCGGTTACCGTTCGGGTCGGAATAAGCTCGTTCTTCTCGTTTGTCACGACCGTCATCCCTCCTTTCTTGGGCACCACTTGAACAGGACTAACCCATGGACTATCGGAAATAGAATAAATGATCCCCGCATCTAAAAGCTTGACTACTTCCTTTTTGACCACTTCTTGCATGTTTGGGTTCAATCTTCTTTGGTGTTGCACTACCGGCTTTGCTGCTTCTTCCAGGTTAATCTTGTGAGAGCAATAAGAGGGGCTTATTCCCTTGATATCGGTGATACTCCATGCAATGGCACTCTTCCTCTTCTTCAAGACTTGAACTAATTCTTCTTTTTCAGATTTGGAGAGGTCAGAAGCTATTATAACAGGTTTTTGTTGACCATCTTCAAGGAATGCATACTCCAAGTGATCTGGTAGTGCTTTGAGCTCAGTTTTTGCGTTCTGCATGCTGAACACGTCGAGTACAGGTAAGGGACTCGTCGAGTCCTCTTCAAAATTCGCGATTTCTCGGGATTCTTCAACTGGACTCGGCGAGTAGATCGCTTCTACTCGGCGAGTATGTTGCTCCATGGTCTTCATTAACTCATCATAATCAGCTTCTTCCAGCAGTCTCTCTATTTCCAGTAGGTCTTTTTCAGCATCAAGTTCTTCAGTAAAGGGGATGGTGGACTTGTTTGGATCTTCATTATGCCATTCCTCCATCAATTCATCCAACATATCAATTGAAAATGCCGTGTCATCACTATGCCTTGCATGCTTCATGGCTTGATCAACCCCAAAAGTGACTGAATCATCCCCCACCCGTAGAGTAAGTTTTGAATCTCGCATGTCAACTATAGCGCTTGCGGTGTTAAGGAAAGGTCTTCCAAGGATGATCGGGACTTGAGGATCCGCTTCCATGTCTAGAATTATAAAGTCCGCGGGAAACACGAACTTATCTACCTTCACCAATAGATCTTCACATATTCCTCTTGGGAATGTAACAATTTTGTTTGCTAAGTGGATTGCCATTCGGATTGGCCTCGGTTCCGGGAGATCTAGTTTCTTGAAAAATGAATAAGGCATGAGGTTTACACTTGCTCCTGAATCGGCTAAAGCATGAATGGTGGCCAAATTCCCAAATTGACAAGGCAATGTTAAGCTTCTCGGGTCATCCTTCTTCTTTGGTAGCTTGTTTAATATGGCAGCTGAGCAATTCTCATTAAGAACTACTTCACTCACTTCTTCCATCTTCCTTCTATTAGTTAGAAGCTCTTTGAGAAACTTAGCGTATTTTGGCATTTGGGCAACCGCTTCTATGAATGGTATGTTGATTTGAAGAGCCTTTATATGTTCTAGAAACTTCTGGTAGTCTTCTTCATTCTTTTCTTTCTTAGCTCTGGCTGGATATGGCAATGGAGGCTGAAATGGCTTTGCAGGAATCTGACTTTTCTGATTAGGTAATGGACTCGTCGAGTCCATATTCTGGACTCGGCGAGTAGGGTCTGTGTCATGCAGATTTTGATTTTGGCTTTGTTTTTCTGCATCCTCCTTTTGTAACTGCTTGGGCTCTTCAGACTGAATTGGGGCCAGAGGAGTAATTATCTTTCCACTTCTTGTTGTCACGATATTTATATGTGCGCCTCGTGGGTTGTTTTCGGTTTTACTAGGAAGTTCTCCCGGTGATCTTTGATTAATTTGTTGAGCAAGTTGCCCCAGCTGTGTCTCAATGTTGTGGATAGATGCTTGTTGATTTCTAAGCATTGTTCTTGTTTCTTGGATTGCAGCATCATGATCATTATGTCTCTTTTCTGAAGCAGCTACAAACTTAGTAAGCATCTCCTCCAAACTTGGTTTCCTTTCTTGTGCCGGCTCCTCCTTTTGGTAAAAACCTCTTCCTTTTTGTTTAAACTTCTCCTCCTTAGCCCTCTTGTACTCATCATAAGGAAGCCACTCTTTCTTGGGTTTCCGCCAATCTTCATCATATCGGTCACCACTTGAGTAACATACTTGCACCTTCTTATTCCCATTCTCGTCCAAGTCACAATCTCTAGTAAGATGAGGTCCATTGCAATTCTCACAACCCACCCGAATAGCATGTATCGTTTGATCCATTTTATCCATCCTCCTATCCATGGTTTTCAACATAGCCATGACTGCTGACAAATCTTCTGAAGCTGCATAAGCTGATCCTCTTGTCACATCATTCCTTGGGTTGTGGTATTCTCTAGAATGCTTAGAGAATTCTTCAATTAGTTGCTTTATCACCGGGGGTGCCTTCTTTGTTAGTGGACCTTGCGAGTCAAGTAATTGCCTTGTTGTAACATTTACTCCATCATAAAAAATGGAGACTTCTTGTTGACTATTGAGGTCATGATGTGGGCAATTCCTTAGCAGACTCTTGTACCTCTCCCAAGCTTCATAAAGTGACTCTCCAGCTTGTTGTTCAAAGTTGGCTATGGCTTTCTTTAACTTAGATATCTTGGAGGGTGGGCAAAATTGATCAATAAACTCTTCTTTCATCTTGGCCCATGTAGTGATGGATCCGGGGGGAAGTGACTTGAGCCAATCCTTTGCAGCACCCTTCAATGTAACCGGAAGCATGCGAAGTAGCTGAGTTTCGCGAGGCACGTTTGGAACATTAAAATAATCAGCTACATCATTTACTTCATCCAAGTGTTTGTAAGCATCTTCGTGGTCTTTTCCGTGGAAGGGGATCTCCTTGAGTAGAGCAAGAATGTGACCCTTAAGCTCAAAAGTGGCAGTTGCGGGAATTGCGGGTTGCACAAGTCCCGGCCCGGTATCATCGCGTATCCTCTTCTTCCATTCCCCCATGGGGACTTCATCGATGTTAGCCATAGGGATAGCTAATTCGTCGTCGGAATCGGAAACGTGCCCGAATGTAGGGTCTTCTTCTCCTTCGGTTTCGTACTCGGTATCCTCTCTGATTGGGTCTTCGCTTGCTAAAGAGGCGCTGGATGCTCCTGATTTGCTGCTCTTCTTCTTGCTGAAAACGGACTTGAGATTCTTCAAAGGTGAATTCTTTGAAGAAGCGGATTCTCCAACGGTTTTTCCTTTGTTCTTTCTTAAAGCGGACTCCGGGTCTTCAAGTGGAGGAACCAAAGACGTATTGGATCCTTGGATCATGTAACAACTGCAACCAAAGCAAGAAACGCGTAAAAAGAACAAAAAGAAAATAATAATAAAAAGTGCAAAACTGCAATGGACTCGCCGAGTAGCTTCGAATGCACTCGGCGAGTTCAAGGCAGAAAAAAAAATTAAATTAAAATTCTAAAACAGAAACCTATTAAAATTAATCCTAATAACTAAATTACTTAAAAATAACTTTGTGCAAGATAAATCTCACACAAAGGATCGATAAAACTAGAAATTAGTGCTAATTTTTGAACCATTCCCCGGCAACGGCGCCAAAAACTTGATGTGTGTAAAATGCACTAGTTTTATTCCTACTTTACAAATATAGATTTAGCACACAAAGGCAGTGAACCTGTCTTTTGGTGGTATAGTTGGATAAGTAGGGTGTCGAACTTAGGGAACGGAGATTAAACTAATAACTAATTTTAACTAAACAAATAATAAAAGTAAAGGGTTTTTCTTTAGTTTTACAAGACTAGAAACTTAAACACACCACCTAACAAGTAATTAACTAATCAACTAAAACAAGTAAAAATTCACCAAATTTAATAAAGGGTTTCTGTTTAGGTCCAACCAATTCACTCCTATGGTTAATTTTATGATAAAGTGATAAATTAATTGTTATTGGTTACCAACTATAGTGGTTAGATTCGCATTCACTATTACTAACCCTTAGAAAATTAATCAATTCAAGCAGTGGCCAATTGTTTAAACTAATTAACTCCCTAGTTCAATTATTTGGATTAAATAAGATTTGTAATTGGTTAATCAAATTAGTAATTCAACTAACCTCTTGTTTGTTGGTTTCTCAAACAAGCTCACACATTAATTTACCCATTCTCTAGTTAATCCTAGTTTCATATTCACTAATCCTAGGCATATAATGAAGTGTTCACATAAATCATATGAGGTTAACAATTAAGAGATGTTCATGCAGCCTAATTGTCTTCCAATTAACAGATAATAGTTATGGTTAATGCATAAGGTTCTTTAACAAACTTAATTTAATAAAATCACAAAAATAATCAATCAATAAAAGTATAAATCAAACCATAGGAGTAACTTGGTCTTTCCTAAACAGAAACTACGAAAATTCAGCTCATGATTACAGTAAGAACAAGCTCAAAAATGAATTTAGTTGATATAGACATGATTCACTTCTAAGATTAAGTGGAAAATTTAACCTAATTCGCCTTGAGTCTTCAAAAGATCAAAGATTAGGGTTCTTCAGGTCTCCAAAGGTTTCCTCAGTCGCAAGTTATCGTCCAAGAAAATCAGAAAGTTTTTTCAATTCGGAATAAGATCCTTTATTTATACTTATCTCAAAACAGGGGCAACTCGGCGAGTAAGTCTCCAACTCGCCGAGTACCTTTGAGAAATCCGTGTGCGGTAAGGATTCTGGATATTACTTCGCGAACATTCTTCGGAACTCGCCGAGTAGCTTCGTGGACTCGCCGAGTAGCTCTAGGTTTTCTCTTCTTTCTTCATTCTCCAGCTTCTAATTGCTTCTCCTTCTTCCTTTTTGCTCCAAGCATGTCTTCTGGACTGAAAATATAATTTAGACCTTATTAAGTACCTTTTGTCCATATTATGCAAATAATTAGCTAAAAAGTAATAAAAATATATACTAAACATATAGCTAATTATGCACATATCAATAGGATAATTTTGGTTAATTTTGACTATTGATTTGTATTGCTTTTGTTTCAGAAATGATGAACACGATGAAGAAGGTAGCAAAGTTGGATATCAAATTGACTGTTGACGACAAGAATTTGCTCTCAGTTGGATACAAGAATGTGGTGGGATCACAAAGGGCATCATGGAGGATTTTGTCTTCAATTTAGCAAAAAAGGAATCTAGAGGCAATGAAGTGAATGTTAAAAGGATTAAGGAATACAGACAGAAGGTGGAAACAAATCTTTCCAACATCTGTGGTGATATCATGACTGTGATTGATGAGCATCTCATTCCATCTTCATCTGCTAGAGAATCCACTATTTTCTACTACAAAGTGGAAGTATATTACATTACATATATAAAAATTTGTGACAAAAAGTCCAAAACATCATTCTTGATATGATTTTGCTTATGGGATTTTATTATGGTATGCAGGAAAGGAGACTACTATAGGTATCTTGTAGAGTTCAAGTTTGGTAATGATAAAAAAGAGGTACCTGATGATTTGTCACTGAAGGCTTATCAAGTAATTACCTTTTTATTTTTTAAGTTCTTGATAAGTTTTAGATTTTTTAATAAATGACATATTGACTTATTTACCCCTAGTTGGCATCTACTGTTGCATGGGATTTATCTCCTACTCATCCTATTTGATTTGGTTTGGCTTTGAACTTTTTTGTTTTCTATTATGAAATTATGAAGTCTCCCGAAAGGTAATGTTAGATTTTTAACAAACTTTTTGATAATTTTTTAAACAAAAGAAAAAAACTAAAATGTTGTTTTATTAAATGTTTGTGTTGTTAGAGCCTGCCACCTGGAGAAACAAGCATTTGATGATGTAACTCCCGTAGATCCGGGCTAGTCAATTTAGAGATAATAGGGTCGAAAACGACTTTTCGACAAAAAGATTATTTAGAATAAATAATCTTAAACAAGTTGTAGAATATGTCTCAAGGTTTCCGTACATATAAAGAACGCCGAAATCCGAGTTATAACGAAGAAGTTATGACCCGTCGAAGTTTTACGGCAAAACCGGCACGACAATGGGAGACGTAAATAGTGAATTTACGATAGAGCGACTTTTAGCCTCAGCAATCTAAACGAAAGTCGTAGAAAACGTTAAACCGAGAGTGTCCATAAAAAGAACGCCCAAATCTGACTTCGTATGAGGAAGTTATGATTTTTCGAAGTTTCGGCTTAGCACTGTACAACCCGAAGTTCGAATATTAGATCGAGCGGTTTTTTGCCGACGCAACCTAAACGAGAATCGAAGATCTCATTAATAGTAGCGTATCGATAAAAAGACGGACGAAAACGGACGTCGGATGAAGAAGTTATGAATTTTTAACGGATCAATCCTGTCCCGGCCTGTTAAAAATATAACCTTAAAAATAAAGTCGAAATTAGCCGACAGAGTCTAAACAAAAATTGTAGATCATGTTGCCGCCTACGCGTGGATATAAAGAACGTCAAAAACGGAGCTCGTATTCGAAGGTTACAGATTTTAGAAGATAATTAGTTTTTGGAGTAATCTGCGAGTGACACGTGGCACAATCTGGGCCACACTTCTTCCCACGGCTTTGCATGAGATCGCGACACGTGGCACATTACGCCCAGCGTAACTTTGAGTACGCTTAGCGTAACCCTTAAAACCCCATTACGCTCAGCGTACTCGGTGCTGGCAGGCTATAAATAGATGCGTTTTTCCTCATTTTTCTTCACACCTTTTTCTCAACTTCTCTCCCAACACCCCCAAGCCTCAAGGTTCTCTAGCCTTTCTTAGGAGTAGTAGCGAGTCCCGAAGCGCCAGAAGGCCCCGAGAAGAAGAGCTTTCGGCTCAGAAGTTCTGCCCGCGCAGAGCCCGGTTATTCGCTAAACCCCAATATAAGTGAGTTATTGCTTACCCTACTTAAGTATAGCTTATGATTAATATTAGTATTGTTTATTAGGACCTTATAACAAATATTGGGATATTATTATGAGTTATATAGAGTGTTTTTTAACGCTTATATAATAATAATAATAGCTAGACTATTAATTGGTTGCGGTTAACGTTAAAACTAAACCCTAGTGGTATTGATAATAGGTTTTGTCGAGGGAAAATTATTTTGAGATAACTAAGCGATGTTCGAGTGCAGAGTCACCACCTTTTTAGGTGAGTGCATAGTTACTTTCATCTTACACATAGATATGAAGTATTTTAATATAAATTACGTGCTATGTGTGAATATTATCTGTATACTTGCTATCTATGCTGGATGAACAATTTTATACATGTTTTAAATGATTTAAACTGTATATATATATTTTTTATCTACAAAATATGTTGGGTAAATATGGGTAGATGAAATATGAGTCGGATG